TGGATAGTGGTCGCTTTCACAAATACTTTGCTACTGTAATTTATGTCATTTTTTTTCTAAAGGAAGATCCCCGTGTTTTAGCCTTCCTCCTTGTAAAATCTGAATGTGTCCCTAAATTATTCTTAATATTTTTTAATGATGGGCATCCTTGAGAATCCCATGGGTTCTGTACAGAATATGCACACCATACACCTACTCAATTTATAAAGCAAGTGAAGGATTATACAAGTCTAAGACTCACTCATTCTCTTAAAGACCATTCATGGACAGCCTCCCTGCCTGCCCCACCCCCACCCCCAGTCCAGGCCTGTCAACTGTGTACCACCCCACACAGAACATCAGGTCAGGAAGCTCATAGTAGCCAGACAGTATTTCTACACGGAAGCCTCAGCATCTTACCCCTTTTCCTAGCTCGTTGCCCTTTGCTTCTCACGCTTCTGTGTCCTTCTGAGTCCTGGCTCTGGAGAGCTGATTGTCTGACAAGGACACAGAGAGGCTGGAGAGCTGTTACCTCTGGGATTTCTCTACAGCAAACATTCCTTAGGAGAAATGTCACACTTATGAGGAGTAAGGAGAAAAGAGGATCCCCTGCAACTTTAACAACTACTTCAAATAAAGTGGTTGCTTCCTACACACTTCCATAGCAACTCATGTTTGTGTCTGACTTACCATAATTCTCATGTGATCTGATTATTTGTCTCACTCTCAAGCTAAGGGTGTTGGCAAACAGGATCTACAGTATTCACCAGGTCAATCAACGTTTAGAATATGTCAAGGCAATCATTGAGCATGGACTGCAAAGGTGAAGAAAATATGGATAGCAAGGGCTTCCTCACCACTTTAAATGTATTTTCAATAGTACCCATGAAGGCAAAATATTTTTTCAAGATGATAATAACCAGAGCATGCTCAATACTAATAACTTTTATTCCATTTAACCTAACAGCCAAAAGATCTAGACAATGTAAATTGATGGCAAAAATCTAAGACAGTATGAGGTCCAGGAAAGCATAACATTTTTCAAATTGAAACTTAAAAATATATACCACTCACCGTTACATGATTCCATGAAAATCTGTTAAAGGGTCTCAAGAATTTATTTAGGTATGGGATAGGGACAAACACTCACTGATACAGAACCAATGAGATGCCACCACTGATCCAGCTGCCTTCGTCCAGTCTTTCTGCCCAGGAGTGAAGAGCACCAACTGAAAGCTGCCTCTCTTCCACCTACTCTGCTCTGACCACCCAAGACAGCATGAGAGCAAGAAAGAGCGGGACCCTTACCCTCAGTTTTTAAGCTGTCACATAGGCAGACAAGACCACGCTCTAGGGTTCACTGCCCCAAAAGTCATTGGCTAAAGGGATAGAAGTCCCATTACGACTTATGCTTACATTCATCTCAATATTATTGGTGGGAGTCTTACAGATACACTGATAATTTTAATAGTTAAATATGATTGGTATCTTAGGAAATGGCACACTTACACCCCGGAATTGACATAGCTCTCCTGTAACAAAACTAAAGACTGTTTCTGAAGCAAGAGTGTCTCAGACACCCAGTCAGTTAGACAGCCAGATTAAAACAATTATGTCTGATTGTATGTCTATCCCTGGTTTTCCACCTTAAGACACATAACCTTAGAGCCACTTTAATGCTCAGGAATTTCCTGTAATGAGTTTAACCTCCTGTTAAAGGGAGTTCCCAGAAGAGGCTTTAGAGGTGGACCAGAGTCCAGGACTTTATCACCTGACATATTTTCACACTGTGTCCTCATAGGGACCTTATGAGCCAGTCACCAACAGTTCAGAATGATTTAATAAAAACTGGCTCATGGGTTCATTGGTTCTCCCTTGTCTGTTTGCTTTGAATTTATAGGCATGAGTGTGTACGCCTAAAGCCTAGTGGTTTAGAGCCTGAAGGCTACAAAAGGACTTTGCAAGCATGTAAATTCCATGAGCCTCAATTTCTCAGGTATAAACTGGGGGGGGGGGAGGCAGTCTAAACTCCTCACAGAACTGTCATGAAGACTGTATGGGTTGATATATCCAGAGTAAGTCGAGAGTGTTTGACACCTAAGTGCTAGCTGTTGTTAACTCTATGGCTATTGCGTCACCGTAACATTCCAGTCCGCTTATGTTATGCATAAGCCTGGCTGATGACAGTAAATGGAACAGTGAAGGGAAAGCGCCGGCACAGAACGGGTGCTGCCTTGTCCCTTAAAGCACTGGAGGTTCTGTAATGAAGTGGGGGAAGTGATTTAAGCAGAAACTCCTGTGAAGCCTGGAGCACTTGAAAGTACAGGTGCAACTCCGCATCTCAGCTGATGAGGTACCCATCACCCAGCTGTTTACAGATAGTGGGTCAACAGTCCCTGGTGTGCTAAGGAAAGTATGTGTAACCCTAGCATAACCAGCAAATGGTAACATTTTCTAGGTGCTTGGTAATCCTATAGACTCGCCAGTGGGAGTGTGAATGCACAATGGTCGGGTTCTGGCTCATTGAAAGATCTGTTTGACGCAGGTCCCCTGTAAACCTGCTAATGCTAGGCTCACAAAATCTACATCAGCTTTCCAGAGTTCATCTTACCAGCCTTTTGTAAAACATTGGATTTGAAATTCCCTTTTCTCTTCATTTCTGTAACATTATGCTCTCTGTCTTCCTGTTCCTTCTCTGGTCTACTCTTTGCTTAATAGCTTTGCTGATGCCCTCCCTATCTCCAGTTGCTAAGATTCCTCAGGCTTTGCTCTGGGTCTCTCCTCTCTTCCTCTTTCTCACCCCTCCCCTCTTCCTCTCTGTGTCTGAGTCTCTCTCTGTCTCTCTCTGTGTGTCTGAGTCTCTCTCTGTCTGCCTCTGTCTCTATATAGTCTTATCGAAGCAACTTTTATCCCTAGTTGTAAATATCATCTGTAAATGACAGATCTTACATGAGTTCTCATCTGTATTTTTACCCTAAAAGTCAATTTGCTTTCTGACTGCCTGCCACTTTTGGCTGGTTCTAACATAGCAAGTACACAAGCAGGCTTTTAAAATCTCTCTATTGGCCAGATGTAGTAGGATGTGGCTTTAATCCCAGCCGAGGAGGAGGTGAAGGCCAAGGAGGATGCACAGGCAGAGGCAGGCAGATCTCTATGAGTTTGAGGCAAGCCTGTTTTACATAGTAAATCGCAGGACAAACAGAGCTCAAAAAATGAATAAATAAAAACTATTTATTCCTTCTTCTGCCTTAATACTCTTACAGGAAGATGAGAGAAACCTGGAAATTCATCTTAATTAGTTCTCTCTTATACTGTTTTCAAGAACTCTCTAGAATATATACTGCTACCATCATAACTCCAGCCACCACCACTGTCTGTTATTTGGAGGATTGACAGCTTTCTAAACTGTACCTCTTTGCTCTGTTCTGGCTAATATGCTTCCCTCGATGGGAAGCTGCTGATAAGTCATTAAGTCTATACACTGGATGGAGAAATAAACACGGATGCAGAAAAGAAATCTAAAATTTAATAGGCTCCACCAAAGAAATGGATCTGTTCACAAATAGCTCTCTCTTCTCTTTGATTTTAGTGTGAGTGATGGCTTATAAATGTTCACTTTAATGCAAAATAGTAGCTTGGCTCATAAGCAGAAATCTCAAGGAGGCGGTGCCTGCCTCTGTGTTTCCATTTCAGCCCTGGTTAACACGCTTAGATAATGGTGCTTCAGTGCTGCTTATCCTCCCGGGCACTCAGTTTCTCTTCATTCTCCAATGGTTTCTACTCAGTGCGCGCTCTCTCTCTTTCCCCTTCAGTCACACACTCACATCCACATAATGTTGACTTCGGCGTCATTCAACAATGCTCCGCCCACATGAAATTCCTCTCTCCCTCTGTAATCTTCTCTTCTCCCACTTCTTCCAGTTCCTAATACCTATGTGACTTGCTCTTTAGCCTCATGAAAGCTTCAAGTCAGCAGCCTCCTCTTCACCTGGAATTCCATTGCTCCTTTTTCCGGAAGCGGTAAGCTCTGAGCAGCCAAGGGGTCATTTTGAGGTAGAGGTCATGCTCTTTCCTATCCCTCTAAATGGTCAAGCATAACAGTGTGACAAGTGACAGAGGGGAGATGTTGGGACATAAAACAATTGCAAGGTCAACTTCCTTCCATGGCCCTGCCACAGCTGAATAGTCCTAAAATTCATTGTTTTTGTTAGTTAAGTCTTTCAGCTTATATACCAACACACTCATGCTGAGCAGAGGCTCTTTTCAATGCTTTACTAATGTAAATGATTTCAATAATGCTTATGTAGTGCAAGGAAAATAGGTTTATGTATTAAATTTCATGCACATCTTTGTCAACAAGACAATAATATGACTAAACCTGGATGTAGTAAATTCTAAAGAAAGATTATAGGTCGTATTTACATTATATTTGCCATGTGCTAGGAACAAAGCCCCTTGTATACAATTAATTCAGTCCTTGTCACAAGACAGTTGGGAGTACACTATTATCTTCTCTGTTCTATAGGAAGAAACTTGGGGTAAGTTTCCTGACCAAGATCACACAACTTGAACCCACACTTTTAATAATAAACTTCTTAATCCTATGCCATTCATATAGTATTTTGAATATAATAAAATAGAATATTTGTATAGTATCTTACATAAAAATTATTGTAAAAGCCTAATACTGAAAAATGAGCAAATAATATCAGATTCATATACCTGGCCCCAAAACAGTCTAGGACCAGTGGAATTGTTCAGTGGGTAAAGGTACTTGCTATGCAAATCTGGGTCTCAATCTCTTGAGTCCCCTGGTGAAAGGACAGAACCAATTCATTCTGTTATCCTCTAACTTTCACACATACCACATAAAATTAGAAATCATCTGATTATTTTAGTATAAAGGAGAAAGCAGAATTTAAATACCTCTTTTCTTGAAGCCAATGTCAATATTAAACACATATACACATGAACTATATATAGATATGCCTATACATACGTTATCTGGCATTTAAACTGTATTTTCATGTTTTATAGTGCATTTTATTTATTCATTATGAGCTTGTGTTTGCACATGCACATTGGTGCACATAGATTAGGAGATCAGAGAGCAGCTTGGAGGAGTTAGTTCTTTCAGTCCATCATGAAGTTCCCAGGATACAGCTCAGGCTATCAGAGTTGGCTTCAAGAGTCTTTATCCACTGTGCCATCTTGCTGGCCCAAGTCTAGGATGTTAGCATATGTAGTTATATAAGCACACAATTTAATCCACTGAACTAGTAATTTTACTTTTAATTTTTAATTTATTTAACACAATTGAAGGTTTTTCTTTTCACCAAAGTAGTAGTAATGTTGCCGTTTGAAAGTCATTCTCAGCCGGGCGGTGGTAGCACACGCTTTTAATCCCAGCACTCGGGAGGCAGAGGCAGGGGGATCTCTGAG